GTGGTGACGTGTGACTAGCGAGTAGGGAGTAGGGAGTAGTGAAAATTGAGTAGTGCGTAGTGCGTAGTGAATATTGCGTATCGGGTAGCAAGTAGCGAGTGGGGAGTAGCGAGTAGTGTGTGGTGAGTAATGAGCAGTGAGCACTGTGAAAGGAGTAGGGAGTAGTGTGTAGCTAGCAGCGGATAGTGAGTAGTGAGTTGTGGGCAGTGAGTAGTGAGCAGTGGATTGTGGGTACTCAGCAGTGAGCGGTGGATAGTGGTAGCGTTCTAGCGAGTAGTGAGTATTGAGTAGTGGGTAGTGAATAGTGAGTATTGAATAGTGGGTTGGGAGTCGTGAGTACTGAGTAGTGACTAGTGGGTAGTGGGTGGTGGGTAGGGAGTAGTAGGTAGGGAGTAGTGAGTCGTGAGTAGTAAGCAGTGAGAAGTGAGTAGGGAGTAGCGAGTAGTGAGTAGTGGGTAGTGAGTAGTTAATAATGAGTACTGAGTATTGTTTGGGGTTCGGGTTAAGGTTTTGGATTAGGGTTACGGGTGGTCGGGGCGGTAGCGTTAGGGGCGGCAGGGGTCGGGTTCGGAGCCAGGGGGCGCCGCGGCGAAAGGGGGAGGGGGGGGGGTGCAATTTTACGGCCATCCCCCCCCCCCCCCTTGTGAATGGGGGGTCCCCGACGGCGGACCGGGAAAAGGGGGGGGGGGCCCGACGACGGACAGGGAAAGGGGGGTAGTGGGAAGGAGGGGTCGCCGACGACGACGGATCGGGGAAAGGGGGGGGGGCCCTTCCCCCCCCCTCTCTTGAAGCCACCCAGCGGCGCACCCTCATACATTGTGTATATAACGGACAATTCAACCGTGCACAAGTGGTGGATCAGCCGATCAGCCGTGCCTTTGTGGAGCCCGCGGGGACTCTCGGCCCCATCTAGAGGGAGATCGGGAAGCTCTTGCTAGACAGGAACCCCGATATCATTAATGTAGCGTGGGCCCCTTCGCATTTGTTCCCCATATCCTAAGTATGGGGTTCTTGTTATTGGCAGACCGCGCTGGAGGAACACAGGAGAACAGGAACACCCTCACCTTCTTTTCACTCAGACCCACTCAGACCCACTCAACACGCAGACTCACTCATCACTCAGACTCACTCATCACTCAGACTCATTCATCACTCAGACTCACTCATCACTCAGACTCACTCATCACTCAGACTCACTCATCACTCGGACTCAGCCATGACTCAGACTCATCACTCATCACTCAGACTCACTCATCACTCAGACTCACTCATCATTCAGACTCACTCATCACTTAGACTCACTCGTACTTGTACTCATACATTCACTACACTCACTCAGGTCAACTCATCGGATGATTCACACACACTGATGTTGAGGATGCGTCAGGCGATTCGGTTGTCTCAGCACTCCTAGGGGGAGCGGCGGGGGGATATTTCACGGGGTCCCGTTCGCGGAAGTTTGTGGGGATGTCTCAGGCGGTTTGGCCTTCCTCTCTTCCAACATGTGTTGTTTTCGGAGCAGATTTGGAGGATGTCTCAGGCGATTCGCTCGTCTCAGCACTCTAATGGGGGCGGCGGGGGGGTATTTCACGAGGTCCCGTTCGCGGAATTGCGTGGTGATATCTCAGGCGGTTTGGCCATTTTCTCTTCCAACATGCGTCGTTTTCGGAGCAGATTCGGAGGGTGTCTCAGGCGATTCGCTCGTCTCAGGACTCTAAGGGGGGGCGGCGGGGGTGTAGTTCACGGGGTCCCGTTCGCGGAGTGTTGTGGGGATGTCTCAGGCGGTTTGGCCATTTTCTCCTCCAACATGTTTCGTTTTCGAGGCAGATTTGGAGGATGTCTCAGGCGATTCGCTGGCTTCAGCACTCTAAGGGGGGCGGCGGAAGGGGTATTTCACTCGGCCCTTTTCGTTGGATTTCGTGGGGATGTCTCAGGCGGTTTGGCCATTTTCTCTTCCAACATGCTTCGCTTTCGGAGCAGATTTGGAGGATGTCTCAGGCGATTCGCTGGTTTCAGCACTCTAAGGGGAGCGGCGGGGGAGCATTTCAATCGGCCCCTTTCGCTGGATTTTGGGATGTCTCAGGCGGTTTGGCCATTTCCTCTTCCAACATGTTTCGCTTTCGGAGCAGATTTGGAGGACGTTCGCGCCCAGTTTGCGGGGATGTCTCAGGCGATTTGGCCGTTATGATGCTTGGCATCTGTCGTTTTCGGAGCAGTTGTGGGAGGATGTCTCAGGCGATTCGCTGGTTTCAACACTCCCAAGGAGGAGGAGGAGGAGGAGGAGGAGGAGGAGGAGGAGGAAGAGAAGGAGGAAGCGAGGAGGAGGAGGAAGAGGACCAGAAGGAGGAGGAGGAGGAGGAGGACAGCATGAACACGGTAGGAGCAGAAGCAGGAAGGGGAGGATGATGATGATGATGAGGAGGAGGAGGAGGAGGAGGAGGAGGAGGACGTGGGCAACTCGAGTAGCCAGGGCCAGACGATCGAGGTTCGATGTTCCACAGCTTCAGGTTTTACTCAAACGCTTCCGCCTCACTCTCCTTCGCTCTCCGCTCGCCTTCACTCTTCTGCATTCATACTCATTCATACTCAGACTCAGCCACATGCAGGCTCACTGACTCGCTCATATCCATACTTAAACTTACTCACGCTCAGAACCACTCATACTCAGACTCGCTCCTGCTCAGACTCATCATCCTTCGGTCCGCTCAAACGCAGACCGACTCACACTCAGACTGCCTCACATCCATACCCAATCACATTCGGCTCACTCGCACTCAGATTCATTAAGACACAATTTCGTTCACATTCAGACCCACTCAAGCCCAGACTCACTCATGCTCAGACTCATCATGCTACGATCCGCTCAATCACAGACTGGCTCATACTCAGATTCGTCCATACTCAGACCCACTCGCACACAGACGCACTCGCGTTCATATTTACTCACACGCATACCCACTCAAACCCAGGCTCAATCGCACCTAGATTAACTCACACTCAGAATCAGTCGCTCTCAGATTTGCTATTGGTCGCACTCATGCTTGCAGACTGTGGGAATGTCTCGAGCGAGCGGTTCGCCCGCGCACACAGGCGCTCATTGACAGATATCAAGAGAAAGACGTACCAAGATAATGAGATGCACATATGGGGAGCCCCGCGTCGAGTAATTTTCGACAGAGGCTCGCCAGCAAAACGTTCCCTGGGAGCTTTGGCTGGGAATTTCAATTGCAGACGAGATCGCCGGTTTGGATGCTGAGAAGTACCGCTTGCCTGAGGGGCACAGGGCTAGGGTGGTGGAGGTGGAGGGTAGGGCGGCGTTGGTCAGGGAACGATTCATGAGGGCCCAGGTGGATGTCTTCGCGGCCCAGGCTGGACCTGACAGCCCCGTTCCTGAGATGCCAGGCGAGGAACTCCCCCCTCTCCCTCATCCTCCGCGGCCGCCCTCGGCCGCAGCGGTCAGCCTGTTCGCTTCCGCCCACCAGCTCAACGAGGCGGGGAGCGCGTGCCGCCGCTGCTTCTCTCTATCCAGCAAGACCTCGTGAAATCGATGGCTGCACTCAGAGTGTGCTGAGCCCGTTCGCATTGATCATGTGCTGGCCTAGCCTCCCCAGGTTTAAAGGTGCACATCGGGGGCGGATGGGCGCACGAGGGTCACAGTCTGATTTTCTCGGAGGCCGGCTCCTTTTGGTTGTGCACGGATTCTGGGGCCATAGGTAAGGAGCAGCTGAGATTGCTCGCCTCCCCATGCCAACACGATAGAATCTCCTGCATTCGTCGGGAGTATGTCGATCGATTTCTTTGGGGGTCTCCCCCCAAGGCACAATGCCAGAAGGGTTGAAATGTATTGTGCGTCACTTCGCGACTGTTCCGCTCCGCTCCGCTCCTCCTCCTCCTCCTCCTCCTCCTCCTCCTCCTCCTCCTCCTCCGCCTCCTCGTCCTCCTCCTCCTCCTCCTTTTCCTCTTCCTCCTTCCTCTCCTCCTCCTCCTTCTCCTCCTCCTCCCCCTGTTCCTCCTCCTCCTCCTCCTCCTCCTCCTCCTCCTCCTCCCCTCCTCCTCCTCCTCCTCCTCCTCCTCCTCCTCCGTCTCCCCCCCCCCCTTCCCATTTCCTCCTCCTCCTCCTCCCCTCTCCCCCCCCCCCTCCTCCTTTTCCTCCTCCTCCTCCTCCTCCTCCTCTCCACCTCCTCCTCCCTCCTCCTTCTCCTCCTCCTCCTCCTCCCTCCTCCTCCTTCTCCTCCGTTCCCTCCTCCTTTCCTTCTCCTCCTCCTCCTCCTCCTCCTCCTCCTCCTCCTCCTACCTCCCTCCTCCTCCTCCTCCCTCCTCTCCTCCTCCTCCTCCTCCTCCTCCTCCTCCCTCCTCCTCCTCCTCCTCCTCCTCCTCCTCCTCCTCCTCCTCCTCTCCTCCTCCTCCTCCTCCTCCTCCTCCTCCCCGTCTCCCCCCCCCCCCCCCCATTTCCTCCTCCTCTTCCTCCTCCTCCCCCTCCCCCCCTCCTCCTTTCCTCCTCCTCCTCCTCCTCCTCCTCCTCCTCCTCCTCCTCCTTCCCCCTCCTCCTCCTTCTCCTCCTCCTCCTTCCCTCCCGTTCCTCCTCCTTTTCCTCCTCCTCCTCCCTCCTCCTCCTCCTCCTCCTCCTCCTCCTCCTCCTCCTCCTCCTCCTCCCCCCTCCTCCTCCTCCTCCTCCTCCTCCTCCTCCTCCTCCTCCTCCTCCTCCTCCTCCTCCTCCTCTTCCTCCTCCTCCTACCACTATAGCACGGCCACTCGACGGACCTGGCCAGGCCTGGCACCAGGGAGGAGGAGCAACAGGAGGGGCGGCAGGAGGGCAGGAGGAGGCACGGACGAAACAGCGGCAGCAGGCGAAGGCGGGGGGGAGGACGAGGAGGAGGACCAGGGCGTGGCGAGGCGGAGGAGGAGGAGGAGGAGGCGCATGTGCAGATGAGGATAGGATGATGGTGGAGGTGGAAGGGAGGTGGGGCAGGACGCGGAGCAGGAGGATGGCGCTCCCTCAGGACAGCGACTTCCCCGCGCTCGGCGGCCCCGCGAAGTGAGTTCCCAGCGATGCCGCGCTTGGTGCTGGCATATCCGGGGCCTGGCCAGGGCTGGCCGGCACGACCGGGGTTTCCTGATGCGGGCCTACTGGTGTCCCCCGATCGCCGAACGCGATGCGATAGTAGAGTCTTGTGCGCTTGTGTTTGGTCCCCCCGTGGCCCCCAAGAAGCCGCGCACCAAAGGTCACTCTTACCCAGGGTCACTCTTGCGTGTAGCCAAGAGAAGAATCAGCTGCAGGCGCACAATGACTCAGAGATCCGCGTGGATTTCTTGGGTCGGTACTGGACCCATTTGCGGCGCCTCGGGCGCCCACCCTTGCGCGATGCGCGCGCCAGGGAAGGGGGGTCCAGCGCTGACCCCACAAAAACGCGCGGACCTTTGAAACGTTATGTTATGTATCGGACCGCTGTTTTCAATCGTTCCTCCCGCTCCGCCGCGGCCGCCCTCATAGGCAGCCGCGGAGGAGGAGCAGCGTGTCGCGTTTCGTCCGTGCACTATGATGCGCATGGGTTCACGGCAGGCGGCAGGATTGCGGCTCCTTTAAGGTTGCCCGGTGCTGCCTGGGCGACGTTGGACTTAGGGAATGCTGAGCACAACTTCGTTCGTCCTCCAATCGACGAGCATAATACTCGCGAAAATGGGGCCGACCTCCACCTCTTCCTCCTCCTCCTCCTACTCCTCCTCGTCCTCCTCCTCCTCCTCGTCGCCCTCCTCCTCCTCGGGTCACACGTGTACTCTGTACGTCAGCCCACGCTCCTCGACAGGCCTGCCTTGCCTCTGGCTCTTCTTTCCCTCCTTCACGTCCACCTCAAGGCCTCGTCGCTGGAGCTCGCATCCCCATCAGAGTTCGATCCGGCCCTCGTCGGCTTCGCGGGCTGCGTGCCCAGGGCTAAGAAGAATCAGGTCAGCTAGTAAGCAACACATGCTTGACGTATCCGATGCCATGCCACTGGCACCAGGCATCATGTTTCGTTGCATGTGTTTTGGCTACTGGAGTATCCTGAGCGGTCGTGTTGTAAACTTCCTCGTCGGCTATAGGCTGCTCACATGACTACATTACCGCCGTGCCTTTCTGGTGTCCGGCTATATATATATATACATATACATATACATGACTACATTACCCCGTGACTGGCTATTTATATATGTATATATATATATACATCGGTTGCTATCCCGTGACTTCCTCGTCGGCTCTAGGTTGCTCCCATGACTACATTACCCCGTGACTCGTTATAGGTGTATATCGATGTATATACCTCTATTTATATGTGTGTTTGTCCAAAGGTCCTTCCCGTGGGGTCCCCGGCCATGGGCTGTGCCGTGGGTGGCGCTGACTCTTCGTGGCCGCAGGGTCTCGAACACGAGGTTTTGCCTACGGGTTGCGCCGTGGACGGCGTCAGTGTGTTGTTGTGGCCATAGGGCCCCGACCACGGGTTTGCCTGGGCCGCAGGGTCCTGCCCATGGTGTCCAGCTTCCTTGCGTTAATGCTACATTGCTTTGCCGTGATCCCGCTCACAGGGTCATGTGCGCCAGTGTAGTTTAGAATGGGCCACTGGGTCCCAGCCTTAATTGGTTGTGGTTGCCTTGCTACGCATTGCACTGCACCCGTTGGAGTAAGTGTTCTTCCTCGTTTGGTTTCGTCCTTTCCCACCGCCCATCGAAATTGGATGCCATCTTTTGCGGTAGCAGATTCTGGGGACAGCTGTCAGCTAGTTCAGACGTATCGCATAACCCCACCAGCCCATCCAGAAACGATGTCCATGCGAGTTCACATGATCAGGGATGTGGAGGAGCATGTAGAGGAATAGCAGGCCCCAGAAGCCGTCGTACCCCAAGAGGGGTAGGATGGCGGAGGAATCGGAGGAGGATGAGGAAGTGGAGGAGGGGGAGGGACTGAACGACCTTAGCGCCACTAGCTCTAAGGGGGAGGGTCACGGGGAAAAGGATTTCTTGGGATTGTGCATCTGATTCAACCGCTGGCTGGTCAGGTGACGGGCCAGCACGCAGCACGCGACATCAAAGAAGGGACCGATGCGCTGAACTTGCATCGGCTCGGGCGCCAAGGTTCCGGACCACTCTTATTGCCGGTCACATTCGAGTCAGAAAGTGCAGCACAGCACGAAAACAGCGCAGTTGTTGCAAAACATGGAGGGGCACGCACATTGAGACGGCAAGGCAGGCGGCCCATGGCTGTTTCTTTGTGCTGGGCCTCTGACGCGCAAAGGTGGACGCAGCCCTCGGCCGTTCATCACACGCCCGAGGAGGGGAGAAATCTTCGGCCCCAAGGCGGTACGAGCACGAGACGGCAGAGGAACCGGCACCAGTCTTCGCACGAAGGTTCAGGAGAGGAGGCTCTGCGGCACTGCGGCACTGCCTGCCTTGATTGAGTGGCGCCACCCTGGCCCGAGCATGCGTACTGCTCTCATTCTTGGCCAGGGCGAGTTCTCTTCCCCCATTACTGGCACGAGCGACAGACAGCGGAGGACAACAGACCTGGTCATCTGCGCGCCAAGCGGCACTCAACCTCCCATGCAACGCCGTGCAGAGACACGGGCGGAGGGATGCAAATTTGTGGGTGCGGCATCGCAGGTCGCTCGAAAAGAGGGGCCTCGCACGTGTGGTGCGCTTCCGGGTGCACCATTACCACTGGCTCTGGTCACGTGGGCCCTTGGCCAGAGAGAGGCATGAGAGAGGCATGCGGCAGGCTGACAGCTGCGGTGGAGCTGCTGAACCTGCCGGGTGGGAGTAGCTCGGTATGGCACATGTGTGGCTTCGCACGCGTGGTGCGCTTTCGGGTGCACCAGTAACCCTGGCTGGGCTCACGTGGGCCCCTGGCGAGTAAGCAGTAGAGAGGTTTGCGTCTGTCTGGGCGGGATGCTGGCGGGTCCTTGGAACCTGCACACGTCGATCTGCCATCATCGGCGAAGCAGCAGAGAGGGTGGGGGGACTGAGCGGCGGCGGCAAAGCAGAAGGTGGGCAACACAAATGTTCCTCAACGTTTAGCCGCCGTCTCGCTGGCAAGCTCTGTCAGACAGACCCTGCCCGGACGATGCATCTGCAGCCCACGACGCCACGGCGAAGCGTGCTCTAGCTGACTTGGCCCTCCTACGCACACGTGCCTACAACTGCACGGGCTGTGGGGGGTCCGAGAGGAGGAGGAGGAGGAGGAGGAGGAGGAGGAGGAGGAGGAGGAGGAGGAGGAGGAGGAGGAGGAGAAGGAGGAGGAGGAGGAGGAGGAGGTAGGAGGAGGAGAGGGAGGAGGAGGAGGAGGAGGAGGAGGAGGGAGGAGGAGAGGAGGAGGAGGAGGAGGAGGAGGAGGAGGGGGCCGGGCGCGTGTGCCAAGCCTCGGGGGGTCCGACGGCGGCTCGCCGAAGAAGCATCAGAGCAGTCCTGCGCCACGTCCGCCTCACGTGGCCCTGGCGGCCTGGATGCGGCAGTGGAGTCTGTAGGACGTCACCGCCCTGCTCGTGCTCCGTTGCTGCAGGCTCCGGCGGGGGAAAAAACTACTTCTTTCGGGATTGGTCCGTCGTGTCCGAGCCCCACGCGACACAAAATCTGGGGCCCACTCTCCACCCTGCCCCCCGATACGGATCCGAGGAAACAGAAAATTTACAAAGCGCATCACGGGTCTCTTTCTCTTCCGCCGTGCTTACAGGCACCGTACAGCCGGGGCCTTGAAGAAGGAACCCTTTGGGTTGGGGAGGGGCTCCGCGTTCCTTAAGTGTTTCGCAGCCTGCCTCAGATTTTCCTTATGTCTTCGATAGGAAATCGAAGTTTAACTTATGGAAAAAAAGGGGCCTCGTTCCTTATTTAGGGTTCCTTAGGTCAACGCCCCGACTGTATCATCGCAATCTCCCCGAAACATCGCACGAAAGGGATCGGACATGTTATCTGCCAAGCACTTGCGTAGTCTGTCGGGGTAGGTCTTCTTGGCGGTTCTCTTTTACTTGCGAGTTCCGTCGTAGCCTTGCAATGTTTGATGACCTCTCCTTCCAGGTTGAGCAACTGCCTCCCCCCTCCGTGTCCAACAGCCTACTGTGTAATCGCGAAACACATGACGCCGCGATCCTGGCTGGAGCCTCGACGACTGACCGCGCTCGCATTGATCAAAATCCGTGGTTGCCACTGCTGGGGAGGAGGTCAGGTCTAAGAGGGGGTGCCAGGTGAGGGACGTCGCAGCCTGGGTACGCCGATCACAAGGTTATGGGCGCTCCATCCAGCAGCTTACACCTACTGTGAGGTGCGCAGCGAAGAGTATGACCATCGCTCCGAGCAGTGCGCTACCTACCCATACTCATCCTGCGTCCGTAGTGTGGGTGGGGCGGTACCTTTAGCCCACCTCGCGGCAGACCAAGTCTCACATGGTGCACCCCACCCCCCGACAAAACGACCCGCCTCGCCAACACACGTTCCTTCTTGGTGTCACTGAGCGTCGCATGTATAGCTACGCCGATGGAAAGGACAGTGACAGCATAGCAGTGAGGTAGTGTGCCCATTACACCTGTGCCTGAATGTCCCTTCCCCGCCGTCGACCATCGTATAGGCTCAGTACATAGTATTATACCCGTCGTGCTGTGCATGGGACGGGGTCGGCCGCAACGCCTGCATATTGTCACGGAAGAAACAAGCGCGCTGGATACTTCTCCAAATTTTGGTCAGCTGGCAGCGGAGCAAGCGGCGGTGCCTGCAGCGGTGGCGGCAGCGGTAAGCACTCGGCATCCGGATCGGTAGCCGCCACGCGTTCCTTAGTTTCTTGCTGCGTTATTGCCGCCATTGCTCCTTCGGCGTCGGGCTCCAGGGGTCCCGACGCCCTTATGGCTGAGACCACCACACACCGCTTCGAAAGCCGAACACGGCCCAGCAGCAAAGGTATGATGGGTTCTGTCGCGCAGTAAATATGACATGCGCACATCTCGGCGAGTTCAAAGCCAAATAGTCAATTCGATGTGGCCGATTGTAAAGAAACACGAAGTAAGCATGCCTAACATCGTCCGTCTGGGTACACATCTGCGCGTGCCAGGCCGGTCTGTCTACGATGCGCGCGTGCCACATGTACCCGACACATTGCATGGTTGCGAAGCTCCCTAGCACACCACGGGTATGTTGTGGCTTCGATAGTTACCCGCATCGTCTGTGCATCAGTAAGTATACCGTTGGAGTTAGGGCAGACCCGCTCCGGCACACGCGCATGTTTGACAGTATCAGGGAAATCCCTGGCAAGTTGCTTTGCTGTGTGTGCACGCATGTCTGCCTGTGCTTGCGCAGGCATAGCTTGCCCTAGTAGGTGTTTCCAGGCTGACAGACTCTTAGCAAGTGCACCCCAAGGCCCCATGTCTCAACGCGGCGGCGGCAGCTCGGCCTAGGCGCGGCTGGCAGAGTGTAGCCAGCCTAGATCGCCTAGCAAGAGACCCACCCTTGTCCGCGACCTCGTGGGGGTCGTCACTGTTGTTTATTCCGCTCTCAGCAACGCAAATGGAAGAATGGGCCCACTGATAAGCAACGACCCGCACAGTCGTGACCTGGCTACACGCAAGAGTAGTGTCGGTGACGGCCGTTGGAGTTTAGCCCATACCAGCTGGTCAGACCCACATGATTTGCCCTCAACGTACTTTACGCGGGCAGCCGCGCGATAC